GGGGGGGGAGAGAACCTTCAAAATGACGCTAATCGAGTTGCGTTCAAAGCTCTATGAACGCAATTTCTCCTGGTAATGCTTATTGAGGATCTTGCAGTGGAAATGTAAATAAACATGAGACTGGTAGTGCAACTTAAATGTAAAGTAATACATTACACACGTATACTACATTGATAGGTAAAGCTATAAATAGATCAATTTACCATAGTAGGAAACATAACATGTACATAAGAGACATGAATCCTGTGTAGGCATACATAGATGTATATAATGGTAATTTAACTATATCAGCCTTTTATTTATTAAAGATGGAAGCAGATACATGAACTAATATGAATTGATTGTCATCATTGGACAGGAGAAAAAAATGGAGAATTGGTTTTATTATCAGGACTTTGCAGTTTAAATACACTCATTTACATTTTATTCCTATAGTGTAGCTGGTACAATTATAAACATTCCTCATTGCATACAGACAGATTGATACAGCAGCTACCTTATACTAAACTCATCACGTGGTTAACAACACTCACTACGATAAAGTCTCAACTTTTTGCCAAAAAAATATAAGTTTAAACTTTATTTATATTACAACAATTATGAAACAAGTTATATGACTTATATTAATCACTCTTGTTGGCCCGAATGTTAACGCGCAGGGGGTCTTACTGTGGGAGGAAACCGGAGAAAACCCACGTGGTAGGGCAGGTTACCTCATACCTTTTCGCGTCCGATCGGGGAATCGAACCCTTGGCGAAAGCCGAGTGCGTTATCCACTGCGCCACCCGACCAACCAAGTTAGAAACCAACTTATAACATTCACAATAATGTTTAGACTTAGTTCTTTGAATTTTCCACTGATAGGCAAGAACACATGTCAATGCCATAGATATGATAAAAAGCGTTTGCACTCTGTATATTTTATTTGTGTGATGTTACCGGTATATGTATTAACGGTGGTAAGTTCTAAGGAACATTTTATGGAATCTTGATGAAAATCAACAGGCAAGTTTCAGAAGAGATAGTTGTTGGAAGTTATGCCCCCAGATACCCCAACAGGCCCCTGCCCTCAGTCCTCGTTAGGTCTGCCCTTTCTTGAGTATGCATTCTGATCCTCCTCCTGTAGGGATCATTTTTTGGAATGTTGGTGAAAATACACGTGTTAGTTTTAGAAGAGATGTATTTAGAAGGTTTTGCACCGTGTGAACACCTGTTGCCTCGACCTTCAGCACCCCTGGGAGTCATCCTCTCCTTGATGTTAGATTCTGATCCATAACACAGGCTGACACTTAACACCAAGTTTCATCGCAATCTGAGGACGGTCCTGGGGAGTCGAAACTATAAATGCTTACGGACGACGGACGAAAGTCAATCAAATAATGTTAACTTCGTGACCTTAATAGCGAAAATAATCTTCAGCTTCTGAACGGGAGTATCATTCTTTATTTCTGTCTAATAAATAAATAAAAAAAACTATTTAAGACATCTTGAAAAAAGTAAGATATTACATATAATTTGGATTATATGTTTTTAACATATGAATATGTTTTAATAAGTTTAATTATTTCAAATGAGTTTACACTTCTTATGCAAACAGATTTACAAGTATAAATGACACGTAGTTAGATAACTAGACGTATAATTGTATTTTATAATTTGGCATAGGGTTCAAATGATGTACATTACAATGGAAATGTCGATACTATAAGAGGACTCGTTAGAGTGAAGTACCTCCCTTCTAGTTACCTCCCTTTTGACAGTGTGCTTACTTAATTTGATCTTGTTGTGAACATTTTATGTCAAAAATAGTGATATGGTTGAGTGTCACCTTATTCACTCAATTATCACATGTCTGTCTAGTAACCTACATTTGTTGAGGTCAACCTGCAAATGACCTCCAGACCTCCTCGGTTTTTGAAATACTGTATTATTTTCAAAGATTTGCATTGCTTATATATAGCTCAACATTAAAAATGTTTTGGAAAAGCCCCTTTTAAAGTTTTAAAATTAAAATACTCTTATACTTTAAAAAAGAAGAGGGAGGACGTTTTTAATAACTTTGATAGAATGACAACTTCGTCAATATCCCAAAGGGGAACATCAAAGTGTATGGCAAAGAATCTTACCGTTTCGAGGTCTCCCGGGTGTGGAAAAGCTTGCCAAAGAACTTAGGTAAGCTGAAAATTACAAGTCGTTTCGCTAATAGCGATCTAAACGTACCAGGGAATATGAGTACTGTACTATTATGAGTTTTATACAACACTGATCTTCATGCATAGTAATTTTGGGATGTCTCAATTTTTCTTAACACATCTTTTAATTTATGAACTGTTAAAATTGCGATAGTGTGTCAGTTTTATATTTCATTTATGCTTATGTTTGTCGCAAGCACAGCACTGCAGTGTTCATGTTTTGTTATATTGTTCTTGTAAGCGACATCAAGTAAAATGTCATGAATTTTTACTCTCGAAGACATACTAGTTTCTTAAAAGGCAAATAATAAGCGTTTTAATACCATTACTATTGATTTAATGACTTTGACACATAGTAAAATAAATCTAGGATTCAGTTCAAGTAGGAAATCCGTGCTAGTACACCCCTGCGTTTGTGTCCTCTATTTGGGGAAACCAAAGCGACCAAAATAAATCTGCTGCACCCATTGCAATATTTGGGATATTTCTATTTCTTTCTACTTTCACATTTGACTTTACTGTTGAACGTTTGCTCTGATGAGGAAGGCAATGGATTCTGT